AATTTTAGAATTTTTATTATTATTTATATTAAGTAAAATAATAGAAAATATATACAAACTTTATCATATCGTTAAATCGCAGGAATGTTGTAATTCCACCGTCCAGGACACTATCATCAAAGTCTCGTTTTTTCTCAGATTCCAAATATCCATTATTTGTGGACGATGATGATGAAACCAATAACGACCGACGGTATTTTCGCTCAAGCGCTTCAAATAGACGCGTGCGTTGCTGATTTAGTCGAGCATAAGATATGAGGCCTTTGAAGAATAAATGGATATTGTTCTCACGTTCTACACTTTTGTTTTATTAGTTGTGATTAATCAACATACAAAAGTAAATAATTAATCAATCAAAAATCATATGATATAATACTCGGCTGATATGAAATCGAATATACTACTTACAATTCTATAAATTTGCCAAGCTCGCTTTTAGCACCAAACCCGACATTGACCCACGTCTTTTTAACACAAACGTTTGTCTCATCAACATCAAAGATCAACGAGAATGTGAGTCCATATGTAGTGCCAAAGTAAGTGTACCGCCTTAATACGTGCTCTATTTTTTGTTGGTAAAGCCGAACAATCAACTTACTTTATAAATCGAATAAGAAATAAATGAAATGTACCTTCATTATCGTTATTGATGTTAGTTGCTGATACAAGTGAATTCGAAATTTTTGTGAATTTTATTTTTGTGAATGATGCCAGTCTTTTGATCTGTAACGCGAGAAATTATGAGATATTATGTAACACGGTAACATACATTGCGCAAAAAAAAATTACTTGATCATCGGTCTCATAAATTCTTTTTATTGAAGCTGGCGAGTAATTTTTTTCCTCCTCTTCTATGTATGTTCTTTGTTGTGCATTATTAAACTGTCCACTATCATCTTCATCAATATCCATACGATCATCTTGTCTATTAATTATACAAATTAATTTTACATTTCCAGAGTAATGCAAATTTTGGATGAATGACTAAATAAACTGGCAATTACATTGTATTCTTACTACCACTGCTAGTATTAGTAGTTCTCGACAATATCATTCGTTTCTTTCGTCGTGTAAAACTAATCTTTTCCTCTAATCCTTGTATTTCGTCTTTTACTTTACGCACTTCTTCCAAGAGTTCAGATTTTTCTTTATGTATCGTGCTAACGTCAAGAGAATCGTCATCTTCTTCAGTTTGCACGAGAATTCCGTCAACTAGTTCTTCGATTGTGTGGGGTAGGGAAGTTACAGTCCGTTCATTCATGTTTCAATTTTCGGACCAATGTCTAATTTATCGTTATACGCGAAATTTAATCTAAATCACATGATAAATAGTCAAAAAAGTGACGGTTCATGTGATTTTTAAGAGGTGAACCAATCAAATTGCAGGATCAGTGTATAATGAAAAAAATAGTTGAGTTTGTCAGGGCGACCCCTAAAAGTTCGGGCCACGTGATATTACGGATCGACACCGGCTCTTCCGATCCGCCAGTTTCGATTCATGAAATATTTATTATTATCGTAGTATAATTTTTCAAATCTTGGAATAATTTAGTTTTCACTCTTAAAACTTATTATAAACTATATTCTTGATAAAATCTACCTTCACAATTATA